TGGACTTTGTGGAAGTCTATTTCCTTTGCCAGATTGGGAAAGTTCTCCTTTATTATTTGTTCAAATAAGTTTTCCACTTATTGCTGTTCCTCTTCCCCTTCTGGTACCCCTGTAATTTGAATGTTGGAACGTTTAAAGATGTCCTGAAGGATCCTAAGCCCCTCCTCATTTATTTGAGTTCTTGTTTCTTCATTCTTTTCTGTTTGGTCACTTTTTTCTTCCTTCTGGTTCACTCCCTCGATTTGAGTCCCAGTTTTTTTCCCATCACTATTGGTTTCCTGAGCATTTCTCTTCATTTCAATTAGTTTAGCCTTCACTTGTTCCTCTAATTTGTGACTAAAATCAACCAATTCTGTGAGCATCCTGATCACCAGTGTTTTAAACTGTGCATCTGAAAGGTCAGCTATCTCTTGGTCACTTAGATTTATTGGCTCTGGGGCTTTGAGCTGTTCTAGAGCCATGTTTTGGTCAGGTCGTGTCTGTTACATATGAGGAGAGGCACCTTAGATGTTCACCAGAGCAGGGCCACCCAAGTCACTGGGTTGTGACGCGGTATGTGGGAGTGGGGTCAGAGAGGGGGCAATGGTGTTAGCTCTGCTCTCTCAGATTTCTGTCCCCTCTGCTGCTTCCCACAAGCAAATTGGGCCCTTCTGGTTCTGGTTCCCACGCGTGTGGGCTTGTGCACCCTCCAGGACCCCGTGGGTCTCTCCAACGAACTCTCTGTGAGCTTCTCCCGGCACCTCAACCCCGAAAGTCTTTCCAATTGGTGCTTTTAGGCTCTAATTCCCGTCGCTGAGGCCTGGGGTTGAGCGGTCTTGTCTCCCTGATCGCTCCTTCACTTGGTTTATCTACGCTCGAATGTGTGACTGCGGTCAGCCGGCCACCTTGCACCCTCACTGGATCTGCCTGTTGCCACCCCACGCCCAGAATCCTGCCTGCGCTCCTGAGCTCCTGGGTCCCTCTGGCTGATCTTTCCTGCCCGACTCTGCTCCGCCGCTGACTCCGCCCCTCTTACTGGTCTTGATGAATGGTTAGTTGTTGTCGGACTTCTGTATAGTTCAATTTTCTGTGTTTTGGCTGCGTTTTTGTTACTAAAACTTTGTCATCTTTAAACTTGGTTGTGCGAGGAAGCACAGTGTTTCCACCTACGCCTTCATCTTGGGCGGAAGTGTTATCATGTTACTTCTAAGAGAGCAGAATACATCAAGATGGAAGGAAGTATAGTAATAATAGTTGACATTATTGAGGATGTACTTAATGTATGCCAGAAACTGCCAAGCTCTTTTCATGGATTATCTCATTAATCCTCAGCAAGTTTTGAGGTCAGTGTTGTGGTTATATCAGCTCCTGCTTTGCAGATAATGAAGCTGAAACAGAGAAGTTTGTCCAAGGTTATACACCTATTAAGTGGTAGAGTTGTTAAGCATTGCAGAATGGTCAAGTGGGGTGAAAATTTAGAAGAAAAAAGCCCTCCAAGCTTGACTGCTAGGAGGGTATTGTTGACAGTGTTATTTAGTGGTACTGAGTGAAAATATTAACTAACATTTATTGAGCATTTTCTGTGTCACAGGCTCTGTTCTAAGTTTATTCGATTTGTACAACAATTCGATCTGTATTTCAGTTCCTGAAATACAAATTATTATTCCCATTTTATAAATGAGAAAACGGAGGCACAGAGAAGTTAAGTTACTTAACCAAGTAAGAGACAGTCAGGGTTTAACCTAAGCAGACTGGCTTCAGGATGCATCATGTACCCAGGCAGCAAACTACTACCAGTGGGCTCAATCTGGACTGCTGCCTGTTTTTGTGAATAGTTACATTGGAACATACCCACTTTAGTCTATTTGTATATCGTTGTATCTCATTTGTTTAATTTTGGCTTCTCTAGGCAAAGTTGAATATTTGCAACAGACAGTATGGTCTGAAAAGTCTAAAATATTTATTATTTAACCTTTTACAAAAAAAGTTTTCTCCTTGATCATCAGTTAAACTGGATGAAAATCCAAATCCTGGGGAATTCAGTCATGACCTATTTATAGAGGGCAGGTAGTAAAGAAATGGTATGTTAGATTGGGTGGTAGCTGTAAGAAGAAATATGGTAAAATGACATTTTTTTCACATAGGAGAGATTTAAGTATGTTAGCAAAAGAAAAACAAGTGAAGTGAAGCTATAAGAGAGGAGTGATGGTGATAAAGATTTTTGGAGGGTGCAGAACAGAGTGGGAAGTTTATTGCTAGAAAGGAGCCAAGGACTTTTCTATGGAAAATTGAAAGGAGCAAAAGAGATAAAGGATATTAGAAATATAGGGATGTTTTGAAGTAGAGGCAAGGGCAGTAATTGGAATTGTCCTGAGATGACATAATCTCTTTCAGGTGGGGCTGAAGATTAGGGAGGATAGTGGTTGAAATAATTGTCTTTTCATTACTCAAAATTATTTTTAAAGGCTTTTTAAAAAGATTTTTAATTATTCATTTTTAGAGAGAGGGGCAGGAATGGAGAAAGGGAGAGAAACATCAGTGCGTAGTTGTTTCTCACATGCCCCCAACTGGGGACCCGGCTCACAACCCAGATGTGTACCCTGACTGGAAATTGAATGGCGACCCTCTGGTTTGCAGGCTGGCACTCAATCCACTGAGACACACCAGCCAGGGAAATTCTTTTTTTATTTCCCAGTCATGCTTAGTGCTATGAAAAAGCATATTTATAGGAAAGAGAGAATAAGTTTTTTTTTCTTTGCAGTCTAGCAGGTTAAAGTTTGGAAATAAGAGTAGGCTTTACATTTTTGCTCACATTATAAATTACTATTTAAAGTTTACTTTCCAATGAGATTTTAGAAATGGCTTTATTGAAGTATAACTGAAATTCAGTAAACTTAACAAATTGAAAGGGTACAGTTTGATCAGTTTCGACATGCAGATTCTTGTGAAACTGTCACAGTCCTCGTCCCTTCGGCCCTCCCCTCTGTGCCTCCCTGTCACCAGTTCCGATTAGTTGTGTTTCTTTTTCATTCTGTGGACAATTCTTCCTAATTACCCTTTTTCTTTCTTGATCCACAAGTTATTTAGAAGTGTGTTAATTAGTTTTCTAATATGTGGAGATTTTCCAGAGATTTTTCTCTCATTTCTAATTTAATTTTATCTAGTCACGGAGCATATTTTGCCTGACTTGAATCCTTTTAAACCCATCGAGATGTGTTTTGTGGACAATAATATGGTAAATATTCCCTGTTCACCTGAAGAGAAGGCATGTTGTTGTCATTGGAAGGGGTGTTCTGTAATTATCCAGCCAGTCAAGGTGGCTGATATTTGTACTGACTTTCCATTTACTTTTTCTGTCAGTGACTGAGAGAGTTATCAAAATCTTCGGCTCTTACTGTGAATTGGTCTGTTTCTCATTGTAGTTGTTAGTTTTTGCTTCAGGCATTTCGAATTTTTTACCAGGTGCCCTTTTTGGTAACCTGGCTTCTTCGTTACTATAAAGTGGTTACTGTAAAGTGACCTTCTTTATCCCTGGCAGTGTCCTTTGCTCAGAAATCCACTTTGTGTGATATCAGGCAGTAAGCAGGAAACTGGAGAGCTTCCCACGTTTGTTTCTTGTCTTTAGGGTTCTTGTCCTTTGTTGCTTGATAGCCAGTGTCTTGAAAACCCTATGATCTCATATGATTTGTTGTGGGTTTCTTTTAGTTGTTTCAGGCAGGAGTATAAGACCGTTTTCCATCTTGGCCAGAGCAGAAGTCCAAAAATACTTCAAAATTAGTTATGGTAACTAAGTTTTTCTTTTTGTTTGTATCTGGAATACTTAGAAGAATCAGATGAAAGGTATGGACTTTAGCCCTTCCTATCTACAAAGGCTTATGAATGTAAAATCTTCATCATACGTTTAGGATTTAATTCACTCCTGCTATAAGGGCTCTTTGCTTTCCAGCAAGTGTTTTCAACCCTAGTTACACATTAGGATCACCTGGGAAACTTCTAAATAAGTATGTGTGCCTCACCCAGACCTATAAAACCTGAGCCCTTGATGGTGGGACCCACACTTTGGTTTTAAAACTCCCTAGGTAATTCTGATGTGTTGCAAGCTTAAGAACAAGTATGTTTTAAGACAAAGAATGTTTTCCTCTCCACGTGGGTTCTCTGCCTTCCCTTTGGTGGCAAGGATCCCAGGAAAGGGAGGATACAAGAAGCCAGATGCTTCTTAAACTCAACCTGACTAGAATGGGTTACTTTGCAAAAACTGCCAATTCTGCCATCAGATTTTGTCCTAATAAATCATCTGGATTTTTAACAGAGATGCATAGAGAGAAGTTGTAATAAGAGGCCTTTTCAGTTATGTTTCACAATTTGCTTTAACAAAATGCAAAATGTTAGAATATCCCTATGATAAACAAAAGACAGATATCAATTAACATGGACCTCTGAGCCCAAGGACCTGTAAGAAATAAAGCTATAAATAAATAGGAATTCAAATTTTCTAAAACATTGGGTATTTTTATGTGGCATGCTTTGTATAGGCTTTATGCTCTGTCAAATGTATGTATGACTTCAATTATTGGTAATTCATAGTGAAAACTGTACTTCGTGTTGACGTAAGTAAGCCACAGGGTGTTCAGCTGTTTTTTAAAAGAATGCCATAAAACAATAAGCAAGAGGAAATAGCACAGAGTACTGTTAATGAGAGAAGTCTGGTGTAACGTGGACTCTGGGACCCCAAGACTGATTGATTGCACATTGAATCACTTCTTAGACGTGTCAGATTACATACTGCATGGCATAGTCAGTTGGGAATGCCAGCTACTTTTATGTAAGCTGATTCTTTTGTATGATTTTTTTGAATAAAAATAATTGAACATCATGTCCATTTTGTGTATTAAGTTGTTCATTTTCTGAATTTTCTGATGCTTGTTTAAGTGATGATAGATTTTGAAGCACTAAATGACTTTGTATAAATGTAGATTAAAATAGTTTGTCCATCATCGATTTTAACCAATCTTTCCCTATAGCTGTGAACTTCACAGTCGTTAATGAAGAAAACAAAAACGACCTCTTCCGAGAAGTATTTTCTTCAATGGAAACCTTGGCTTTTACTTTTGGACATTTGTAAGTAGAGTAGTGTCATTTAAAGAGTTTTGGGCCTAGGTACTGAATTATGAGAGTTATGTCACATAATTTAGTAAATAGATGTTAAGTATAGTATTAACCAATATTAAATATTGTCACATTGGGAAAACTGTATACTCTGTTTTTTTATTACTACATGTGAAAGTGTCTTTAGAACTGCTTAAAAGCAGCATTCATTTGCAAATGACTCTGATTTATGTGAATAGAGTCCTAGGAATTTATTTCTAAAGACCTTAACTGAAAAAAATGTATTCTGGATGACATGTTGAACGTAAATCTGTGACAGAGTGATGTAATGACTTGTCTTTTATTTGTTTCTTTTTTTAACCTCCCTGTATAGCCTGACAAACTTCCTTATGGGAGATGTAGGCAATGATTCGGTATTTCGACTGTCTATCTCTCAGGAAAGTAAGGTAGGCCAACTTTGTGAGAAAGCAAAAGGCTTTAATATTTTTAACTTAATGTTTTAATCATTTTCTAATCTTAATCTCAGCATTACTATTTCATAGTTTTTGAGTTTAGCAAGAAAAGCATACCAATTATATTTATATTAATATTAAACATATTTATATTAAATATGCTAATTTATGATCAGTTTCTGGAGCAAAAATGTAATCATACTTTTTAAGTAGAATTGTCATTTAACAGGACACATCTGGCCCTAACCAGTGTGGCCTAGTTGGTTGGAGCATCATCCAGTCACTAAAGGCCACCAGTTTGATTCCTGGTTGGGGCACAAACTCAGGTTTACCTCTTTAAAACCTGATCAGGATGCTTACAGGAAGGCAACCAATCAGCGTTTCTCTTACATCGATGTTCCCCACCCCTTTTTCTCTTTCTCTTTTTTTTCTTTCTCATTCAGCCTTCCTGTCTCTCTAAGGCAATGTAAAAAAGTCTTATAAAAACAATAAAAGAAAATATCTGATCATTTTAGTGTCTTAAGTAATGAATCCATATTATAAGGGCCAACATTTTAGAAAGTAATTCTTAACCATTTTTCTCTCTTGACATTGTCACAGATCATAAAGAATGGTGGAAGCTTAGAAAAATAATGCAAGAAGTAAAGAGGTGTTAATCTTCTCACAAATCAAAACACTCACTTAACAGACCTGTAGGTCTTCGGGCCCCCAAGAGCTAGCTCCCCTATAAGTATGTCAGAGGATGAAGGTTCTGATTCCTAGTTGGAAGAAAAATTGCTGTGAAATAATAGAACATAAGAGACAATTGTATATAGAATATTACTTTAAAGATTTATAGTTGCAGTATTTTCATTTAAATAATTTTTTTAACCAAATGCAAGATACTTAAAAAACTGCATTAGAAACATATGTTGATCATTTGCTATAAAGGATGATTAAATCCAAAAAAGATTTCAACAAATACTTAGAAATGTGCCACATATATAAAAACTGGAGTATTATATAAAAGTAATATAAAAGTTTCAGGTCTTTCTTAAAATGATAGAAAATATCGATGACTGCTTAAGGCATTTGTTATATGTACTGTTGAGGAAAGTATTGACTATTTCTAAAGACATCCATTAATGAATCAAGGAGGATAGTGTATAAACCATATCAGAATGCTGAAGAACTTTAAGATAGTTCAATATTCGTTATGATTTTTCTTCAGTATTATATTTTCAAATGCGTACTACTTCAGAAGATTGTAATAAAAATTGTGTCTGTGTGACAAGGCTCTGAACTGTTGAACTTTTTGGTGTGAATCATATTTTCTTTTCCTGTACCTATGTTATACATACATTTTATATTAATTCTAACAGAAAAATACCTTTCGCTTTCTTTTTTTCTTTTGCACCTTGTTTTTCTTTTTTGATTTACCCTATAGAGTGAAATAAAATTCATGATGATATACTAATAATAAAATACAGTTATTTTGTTTGATGAGTTTTAAAAACTATGTTTAAAATTAATAGATGTCATTTATTTAATAGAGTTTATTATTTATCTTGTGCTTTGTGAAGCCCATATTGTCTCAGTCCTTAAAATAGCCTGATGAAAGTAGTGTTCTTATCCTCATTTTGCAGATGGGCAAACCAAAGTTATGCGAGCTTAAATATGTAGGTCAGTGCATACAACTAATAGGTGATACACCTGGACTTCAAACCCATGTCTCTTTGATCCCCTTTGCATAAAATCCCTGCATACTCTATATTGTCCAACGAAATGGGTAAGATAATGTTTTTCTGCACTGTCCTCTAAGGTAGCCTCTTGCTACATATACCTCTTTAATTAAAATTAAAAATTTATTTCTCATTTACATTAGCCACTTTTCATATTCTCAGATAGCTACATGTAACCGGTAGCTGCCTTATTAGACAATGCAGATACAGAACATGTCCATCATTTTAGAAAGTTCTGTGCTATGCTTTTCAATAGGCATTCAGAGAAAATGCTTGTCATATAATAAAATGGTAAAAGAGACTGGCAGAGATAGGTCTTTATCTTCAACTTAGGTAGCAATCTATTTAGATTACTTCTTTAACTTCCTAACATTATTGAGGTCTGTGGAATTTAAGTTTTGCACAGATTCATTGATGTTAACTAATGCTGTTAGTAAACAATCTGATTCTTCATTCTTGGACCTTGAGAGCTGCTGTTGTAAAACTGCTCTATAATTCTTCTAAAATGTTCCTGCTTCTAAACAGTTCTCAGACCTTTTGAGTTCTAAATATTTAAATTTTTTTAGCAGGAATTATGTCAGAATAATAAATTAGAGTGAAAAAATACTGAAGCAAAGATTTGCTTGTTACTTTCTGCTCTAACCTTAAATTTGTTTTCTTTCATGTTGTAAGTCTTTTGAAAATGTTTCAATGGAACCAGTGGACTCATCCAATGAAAAAGGTAATGCTTAACATACTTTAAAACTTTGCCAAATTTTTTTCAGTCATCTTCAATAGATGTTTGAATTTTGATAAATGTTTTAGGTATGTCTTTGCTTAGTAAACTAATATATATTTATTTTAACATAAACTGATATGTAAAATGTTATGCATAAAACTGAAGGAAAAAACCGACTAGAGTAGATAATGTGATCATAGAGACTGATCAAGAACTATATTGAGCTTGTAACTTGATGAATAATAGAAATACATATTAAGATAAAAAATACATTGTATCTTCTCTGACCACAATGCTGTTAAACTAGAAATCAATAACAAGAATAACACTGAAAAACATGCAATGACAAGGAAGCTAAATAACATGTTATTAAACAATGAATGGGTCAACAACAAGGTCAGGGAAGAAATCAAAAGATACTTTGAAACACATGAAAATGAGGACACACCAGTCCAAAACCTGTGGGACACTGGGGAAGCAATCCTAAGAGGGAAATTCAGAGCATGACAGGCCTATCTCAAAAAACAAGAAAAAGCTCAAATAAACAATGGAGCTTCACAATCTTGGAGCTTGAAAAAGAACAACAAAGCCCAAAGTGAGTAGAAGGAAGGGAATAGTAAAGATTAGAGCAGAAATAAATGAAGTAGAGTGGGGGAAAAAGTTCACATTATACATGGCAAAATACAGCATCTCCCCAGACACGGGAAACACAAGAAAAAATAAACAAATAGAACTACATCAAACTAAAAAGGTTTTGCAAGGCAAAGGAAATCATCAACAAAATAAAAAGACAACCCACAGAATGGGAGAACATATTCACCAATACCTCTGACAGGGGGTTAATATCCAAAATTTATAAAGTACTTACAAAACTTAACACCATAAAAACAAACAACCAAATTAAAAAATGGGCAAATTACCTGAATAGACACTTCTCCAAAGAGGACATACAAATGGCCAAATAGACATATGAAATGATGTGCAACATCACTAATCATCAGAGAGTTGCCAATTAAAACCACAATGAGATGCCATCTCATACCTGTCAGAATGGCCGTCATCAATAAATCAAGAAGAAGTGCTAGGGAGGATGTGGAGAGAGGGACAGACACCCTGGGTACCCTTTTGCCCTATTGGTGGGAATACAGACTGTTGCAGCCACTATGGAAAAGAGTATGGAGATACCTCAAAAAGTTAAAAATGGATCTGCCTTTTGACCCAATAATTCCACTTCTGGGTGCATATCCAAAAGCACCCAAAACACTAATGAGAGATCATAAGCTGCCCTATGTTCATTGCAGTGTTATTTACAGTCTCCAAGATATGGAAGCAGCCTAAGTGGCCATCCATAGATGAGTGGATAAAACACTATGGGATATTTACCCAATGGAATTCTACTTGGCAGTAAAAATGAATAAAATTTTACCCTTTGCAACAGTATGGGTGAACCTAGAGGACATTAAGTTGAGTGAAATAAGCCAGAGAAAGACACATACTATGATTTCACTCATATGTGGAGTGTAATGAACAAGCTGAACTAACAAGCAAAACATAGACTCATAGATGGAGTTTGTGACTCCAGACTATAGACTCATAGACTCACTAGCTGCAGATGACAACTTAGTGGCAGGGGTGGTTAGGGGGTGAAGGGATTGTGCACAAAAGGAGAAGGACCTGTTGACATGGACAACAGTGCTGGGGGCAGGGTATAAAGAGACTAAATGGTAATGGAAAAAATAAAGTAAAGGTTAAATAAAATATTTAAAAAATTAGAAATACATTTTAATTTGAACTGTTTTAAATGTGACCCTTTAATTGTAAATTTGTTTCTTGTATTTTTTAAAGTGTCTTTCATTGAAGAACATCTCAGGTTTCAAATGTTCCTTCATTTAAGAGTTACATGGTCATATTTAATATGCTTACCTTAATATTTTTATTTTCAGGAAATTTTTCTCCTATAGAACTAGGCAGCTTGCTGTTAAAGAACACTGACTCTGTAGAATTGGCTTTGTCATATGTTAAAACATGGTCAAAATATACCAAGAATGTTGTGTCGTGGGTTGAAAAGAAGCTTAATTTGGGTAAGTAGTCCTTCAGGTCATCTGATTAACTTTGGATTGTAAGAACTGAATTATTTGAAATGCATTTGATACAGACTATGAGAAATGTGAGTCCAAATTAGTAGCTTGTTTTATTATAGTAAATCATTGTTCATTTTCTCTTCTTGAAATAAAGGACTCATCCAACAATAAATGTACTTATTGAATATTACGGTGGGGCAACCACTACATCTGAGGACACAAAGACAAATTGTGTACTGTGTTTGACTAAGGAAATTATGCTTTACTAGTGAAAAGAAATGGAATCAGATAATATGGCAAAAGGAGATAAAATCAACAATAAATGTATGAACAGAAGGTAGTGGAAACAAATAAGGAACATCTTAATAGCTAATGTTTTCCCAGTGTTTGTTGCTGACAAAATACTTTTATATCGATTTTCTCTTTTAATCCTTACCAGAACTCTGGAAAGTAGACAAGAATCATTATCCCCTTCTTTTACAGCTGACACAAGTAAGATAGGTAATCTGCTTAAAGTTAGATTGCAGATTTGCCTAAAATCACAAAGCAATAACTGGAAGAATATAGAATTTACTACAATATTTGCTTTCAATAAAGAATGCCCTTCAGAGAAATAGGCCTAGGTCCTCACTCCCCAGGTAAAGTCTAAACAAGTGTGTTTTGAAAAGTTCTAGTTGATTTTGACTAACATTTCCAATGAGAATCACAGCATCCCATACTTGTTTTATCTACTCATCTTCTGGTGGACACTTGGGCTGCTTCCATATCTTGGTGACTGTAAATAACACTGCAGTGAACATAGGAGTGCTTATGTTCTTTCAGATTAGTGTTTTGGGTTCCTTTGGATATATTTCCACAAGTGGAATTGTTGGGTCAAAAGGAAGATCCTTTTTTAATTTTTTGAGTTATCTCCATTCTCCTTTCCATAGTGGCTACACCAGTCTGCATTCCTTCCAACAGGGTATGAGGGTTCCAGTTTCTCCACATCTTTGTCAATAATTGTTTGTTGATTTATTGGAGGTGGCCATTCTGATGGGTGTGGGATGGTATCTCATTGTGGTTTTAATTTGCATTTTTCTGATGACTAGTGATGTTGCACATTTTTTCATATGTCAATTGGCCATCTGTATGTCCTCTTTGGAGAAGTGTCTATTCAGGTTATTTGCCCATTTTTTAATTGGGTTGTTCTTTTTTTTTTTGGTGTTGAGTTTTATAAGTTCTTTATAAATTTTGGACATTAACCCCTTATCACATGTATCAGGGTATATGTTCTCCCATTCTGTCGTTACATAATGGAATACTGCTCAGCCATGAAAACAGTTTTACTTTTTGTGACAGCAGGGATGGACCTAAAGAACATGGTATGTGAAGTAAGCCAGAGAAAGACAAATACCATATGATTTCCTTCATAATGTGGAATCTAATGAGCAAGCTGAACTAACAATGCAAATTGACAGACTCATAGATAAAGAACAGGATGACAGCTAAGGGAATAGAGAGTAGAAGGTAGAAGAACTGAGCAACAAGGAAAAAGGATTCCTGGACTCGGACAAGAGTGTGGTGGTTGCAGAAGGGGGAGGGAGAAGTGAGGGGACTAAACGGTAATGGCAAAAATACAATAACAAATAAAAGATTCATAGTGTCATATCATCATGTGGAGTAGTATTTGTGATCACTTATTAAATGGAGAATTAAAATAATTTTGGAGTGTGGAGGGGATAAATAAGTTATTTTTGTCTTCTGAGGCTTTCTGTGACCTTTTCAGAATTGGAGTCCAGTAGAAATATTGTCAAGTTGGCAGAGGCAACTAGAACTAACTTTGGACTACAGGTAAGTGTTCGATGAACAGCTAGGGCTCTACACCAAGAGATTATTCAGATGAGCTCCTGATAGTGCCTTGCAAAATCAGAAAACCTCTCAATTAACGTAGAGGAGAACTTAAATGCTTAACTTTTTATTAACAGAATAAAATCCTTTTACATTGACCTGGATACCCGTTATGAAAATAACCTGGGAAATTCACAGTTTTAAATGAATGTTATCTTATTAGATACTAGTTTTTCTAATTTTCTAATTCATTATTATTAATTGTCTTCAGTATTTTTTCCCCTAGTCATATTTACAAACAGGTATTGTTCTTAAAAGAGGGTGTAAGTTCAACTTTCTCTTTTTGAAGAAGTGTAGTGGAAGGTGGGTCTGGAACACTAGTGCCATTTGTGTTGGAAAATTTACTTTTCAATTTTAAATTCTAGGAGTTTATGCCACTGCAGTCTGTATTTACCAGTGCTCTTACTAATGATATAGAGAGCAGTCACCTTCTGCAACAAACAATTGCAGCTCTCCAAGCCAACAAATTTGTACAGGTAAAAATTTATATTTACAATACACATATTTTTTTTAAAGTAGCATACATTTAGAAAACAGCCTTTCTTTCTGTTTTCTTTTAAATTGTTCTTTACAGCCTCTACTTGGGAGGAAAAATGAAATGGAGAAACAAAGGAAGGAAATAAAAGAACTTTGGAAACAGGAACGAAACAAAGTGGTTAGTATTATTATTTTTTAATAAATTTTACTGATTCTGGTATTATAGTCATCCCATTTTCCCCCTTTATTCCCCTCTGCCCTGCACCCCTCTCCTACCATCAATCCTCCCCTCTTAGTTCATGTTCATGGGTCGTACATACAAGGTCTTTGTCTACTCTATTTCCCATACTATTCTTAACCTGTCCTTGTCGATTTTGTACGTACCATTTATGCTTCCTATTCTCTGTACCTTTTCCCCTACTCTCTTCCCTTTCCCTCCCCACCAATAACCTTCCACATGATGTCTATTTCTGTGAATCTGTTCCTGTTCTAGTTGTTTGCTTAGTTTCTTTTTTGTTTGTTTTTGTATTTGTAGGTTCCTTTGTTGATAGTTGTGAGTTTATTGTCATTTTGCAGTTCATAGTTCTTATCTTCTTTTTCTTAGATAAGTCCCTTTAACATTTTATATAATAAGGACTTGGTGATGATGAACTTCTTTAACTTGACCTTATCTGGGAAGCATTTGATCTGCCCTTCCGTTCTAAATGAAAGCTTTGCTGGACAGAGCAATTTTGGATGTAGGTCCTTGCCTTTCCTGACTTGGAATACTTCTTTCCAGCCCCTTCTTGCCTGCAAGATATCTCTTGAGAAATCAAATGATAGTCTTATGGCAGGGTTCTCAATCTTATTTTCAGCGGGGCCACATCAGCCCCTCAGTTTCCTTCAAAGGGCCGAATGGAATTTTATGACTGTGTAAATGTAACTGCTCCTTAACTAGGGGTGAGGAACTTGGTGCTGCTGCTGGATAAAACAAGGTGGATCGGCCCATGAGCCTTGTATTTGCCACCTGTGTCTTATGGGAACTCATTTGTAGGTAACTGCTTTTCTCTTGCTGCTTTTAAGATTCTCTCCTTATCTTTGATCTTGGGTAATATAACTGTGATATGCCTTGGTGTGTTGCTCCTTGGGTCCAACTTGTTTGGGACTTTCTGAGCTTCCTAGACTTCCTGGAAGTCTATTTCCTTTGCCATTTTGGGGAAGTTCTCCTTCATTATTTGTTCAAATAAGTTTTCAGTTTCTTGCTCTTCCTCTTCTCCTTCTGGTACCCCTATGATTTGGATGTTGAAACGTTTAAACTTGTCCCAGAGGTTCTTAAGCCTGTCCTCATATTTTTTTATTCTTCTTTCTTCATTCTGTTCTGGTGAATGTTTATTTCTCCCTTCCACTACAAACTGTTCATTTGAGTCCCATTTTCCTCCCCTTCACTGTTGGTTCCCTTTACATCTTCCTTTATTTCACTTAGTATAGGCCTCACTTTTCCCTCTACTTTGTGACCATACTCAACCATTTCTGTGAGCGTCCTGATTACCAGGGTTTTGAACTGTGCATCTGATAGGTTGGCTCTCTTTTCCTCGCTTTGTTGTATTTTGTCTAGAGCTCTGATCTGTTCTTTCATTTGAGCCATTTTTGTGTGTGCCTGTTACATAGTAAGGGGCAGAGCCTTAGGTGTTCATGGGGGCAGGGCAACACTTGCTGCAGCGTTGTGCTGCTGTATGTAGAAAAGGGGCCAGAGAGGGAACAGTGGTGCTTGCTCAGCTCTCTAGCCAGCTTTCAGTCACTTCCCCCACTACCCACAAGCAAAGTGGGCCTTTCTGGTACTGATTCCCGTGTCAGTGGGTTTGTGTACATTCTAGGACCCTGTGGTTCTCTCCAACAAACTCTCCTGTGAGGCTGGTAGTTTCTCCTGCCACCACAACCCCCACAGGTTTTTTCAGTCACAGGCTTTGAGGCTCTATTTCCCCACACTGGGACCCTGGGTTGCGTGGTGTGTCTCACTCCCCAGTCCTTTTCCCCACTTTATCCACATGCAAATGTGGGACCTCCCACTCTGCCTGCTGCCATGTTGCCTGCCCTGGTTCTCTAGCTACTGCCTTGCCATGAGTCCTCTCCACCTGGCTGCCCATCTCTGCCCCTCCTACCAGTCTGAATGAATATTTCTTCTTGAACTCATTAGTTGTTGGACTTGCATACAGATCAGTTCTCTGGCAGTTCAAGTTGTTTTTTGTTTTTAAATTTGTTGGTATCTTTTTTTTAGTTGTGTGAGGAGGCAAAATGTATCTACCTGTGCCTCCATCTTGGCTGGGAGTTCAAAATGGGTAGTAGTATAATTTGTGAATATCTAAAATTATCTGTGGTACGTAAGCAACTACTCTGGGAAGACACATATATTACTCCATAGTTTTTCTAAAATGCTGTATTAACTATCTTGCTGAATATTCTAAAGGTGTAATTTAGTGTGTCTTTCTTACTTTTTTCTGTGTAGCTTGAAACAGAGACTGCTCTTAAAAAGGCAAAATTGTTGTGTACACAACGTCAAGATGAATATGAAAAAGCAAAATCTTCCATGTTTCGTGCGGAAGAGGAGCATCAGTCTTTGAGTGGCGGATTAGTAAAAAATGGCAACAAGCAGCTGGAAAAAAAGCGAAGGCTAGAAGAGGAGGCTCTTCAGAAAGTAATGATTTTTTTGTTGTTATTTGCAAAATAACAAGCTCAATCTTGCTTCTCGAACTTCAGCATGTAGCAGGATCACCTGGAAAGCCTGTTAAAAAAGACTGCTGGGCTGTACCCCCACAGTTGCTGGTTCTGTAGGCCCTGAGCTAGCCCGGAACGGTTTGGCATTCCTAACAAGTTCCCAGGGGATCCACACTTTGAGAACCACTATGCTAAGGGACTTCAGCTTATCCTTTGAATTTGTGGGTTTGTTTGTGAGAGAAGTATCTTAAATAACGCAGTAGTTTAATTTTCGACTTGATTCTTTAGTAAGGTCACCTTCTAGGAAACTGAGTGTATATATTCTAATTTTAATACCTGATAACAATTCCAGGCTGAGGCTTTCACATTTATGAAATATAATAAAGTGGACATTTATTTTATAGGCAAGCAACATACTAATTGTAAATTTTATGTAACAACTCATTAAAGTTAACTGCCCTTGAAACTCTGACCAAAAGAAATTATTTACCTTTAGAAATAATCCTGTTTAAAATGTAAAATATTTCAGAATTTTATTAAGGTTTTTTTATTATATAAATTGAGCTTTACTGCAGTAATATTTTTTTAAGTATAGAGTATAAGGACTAATGTTGGGTTTTTTCTGTGTTATATCTGAAGGTAGAGGAAGCAAATGAATTCTACAAAGTTTGTGTGATAAATGTTGAAGAAAGACGAAATGAGCTAGAAATTATTAAAAGAGCAATTTTAACACAACTCCAGAAACTTGTTTTCCAGTGTGATCTTACCCTTAAAGCTGTAAGTAATATTTTCAATACTTTGAAGGCAAACAGAAAAGAAGTAATTATCTGTAGGGTGAGAGATGCTTGGTGTTTCATGATTAAATTAAATCTATAATGTTTATGGAATTTAATTTCTGCAGTTAATAGAATATTTACAGTTTGAAAATAGGCTTTTAGTTTTCACTAGTGGTATATGGCTTCAGTTACCTTTTTCATCCAGGTCTCCCACTCCCACCCAAAGAACAGAGGATTAGTTTGATTAACATTCATGTCTGAGACTTTGAAATTACCTTTATACTACTGTGTATATATTTGGTTTTCAAATGGATTTGACCCCTGAAACTTTTATCAGCACTATGAAACCTATTCTTCAAAATTAGAGTAAAGTAAATAGTGAAATTGAGCCCAGTAATTTATTTTTCTTAAAGATTTTATGTATGCATATATTTACTTATTTTAACGAGAGGGGAAGGGAGGGGGAGAAGAGAACCATCAGTGCTCAAGAGAAGCACTGATCAATTGCCTGCCCCCATCCAAGGGCCCAGCCCACAACCCAAGCATGTAGCTTGACCAGGAACCCAACTGGCAGCCTTTAGGTTTTTGGGCTGATGCCCAACCCACTGAGCCATACCAGTCAGGGTGAACCCAGTAATTTATTTGAAGACAAAACAATCCTGCCCTCAAGTGTTTTCATTTGCCTCTTTCAACTTGTTTTTGTAAAAAAATTTACCAAAAAAACCACCCTTTCTTGGTTGTATCTTTTACAAGTTTTAACGTGTTTAAATTTGTGTAACCACCACCACCATGGTAATTGGAATTCAGAACAATTCCATCACTCCAAAAACTCTCCTCATGCTGCACCTTTGTAATCAAACTCTCCACCCACCCCTACCCACTGGCAGTGTTGATGTGTGTTCCATCTCTCTAGTTTGCTCTTTTCAAAAACATAGCTTTTTAAAAAAGTGTTTTATTGATTATGCTATTACAGTTGTCCCATTTTCTCCCTTTATTCCGCTCTGCCCTGCACACCCTCTCCCACCTATATTCCCTCCCCCACCACACCCCTCTAGTTCATGTCCATGGGTCATACATATAAGTTCTTTGCCTTCTGCATTGTCTGTACTATTCTTAACCTCCCTCAATTTTCTACCTACGATCTATGCTACTTATTCTCTGTACCTTTCTCCTCTCTCTCCCCACCTTTAAAAACTCCCTTACTGATAATCCTCCCTGTGACCTCCATGTTTGTGAATCCGTTCCTGTTCTAGCTGTTTCCTTAGTTTGTTTTTGTTTTAGGTGTAGTTGTTAATAATTGTGAGTTTGCTGTCATTTTAATGTTCATTTTTAAAATTTTTTAATTATCCTTAGAGGGAAAGGGAAGGAGAGAGGGAGAGAAATGCAGTGTATGCTTGCTTCTCATGCGTCCCCTTCTGGGAACCCGCCTTGCAACCCAGGCATGTGTCCTGACTGGGAATCAAACTATAGTGCTTTGGTTCTCAGGCCTGTGCTCAATCCATTGAGCTACACCAGTCAGGTCTACTGTTCGTATTTTTTATCTTTTTCTTAGATAAGTCTCTTAACATTTCATATAAAAAGAGCTTGCTGATGATGAACTCCTTTTACTTGACTTCATCTGGGAAGCACTTTATCTGCCCTTCCATTCTAAATGAAAGCTTTGTTGGATAGAGCAATCTTGGACGTAGGTCCTTGCCTTTCACGACTTGAAATACTTCTTTCCAGCTCCTCCTTGCCTGCAAGGTCTCTTTTAAGAAATCAGCTGACAGTCTTATGGGAACTCCTTTGTAGGTAACTCTCGTTTTCTCTTGCTGCTTTTAAAGACAATCTCCTTATCTTTAATCTTGGCTAATGTACTTATGATGTGCCTTGGTGTGTTCCTCATTGGATCCAGCTGCTTTGGGGCACTGAGCTTCCTGGACTTCCTGGAAGTCTTTTTCCTTTGCCCAATTGGGGAGGGTTCTCCTTCATTATTTGTTTAAATAAGTTTTTGATTTGTTACTCGTTGTTGCAATTTTTTTGTTCTCTGTGCTCCTGTTACATAATAAGGAGCAGAGCCTTAGATGTTCACCAGGGAGGAGCAAACTCACATTGCTTCGTTGTGACACTGTATATGCGGGAGTGTTCAGAGAGGGAACAGTGTTGCTTGCTCCACAATATGCCAGATTTCAGTTACTTCTTCTTCTCCCCACAAGCAAAGTGGGCCCTTCTGTTGCTGGTTCTCATGTGGGTGGGCTTGCGTAATGTTCTAGAACCCTGTGGGTCTCTGCACCAAACTCTCCTATGAGGCTGGGAGTTTCTCCCAGCACCTCAACCCCCACAGGTGTTTTCAGTCAGAGGTTTGAGGCTTTATTTCCCCATGCTGGGACCCTGGGTTGTGTGGTGTGTCTCGCTTCCCAGTTGTTCCTCCTGGTTTATCTGCATGCAAATGTGGGACCACCCAGTCCGCAGTTCGCTGTCTTGTCTTTCCTGGTCCTCAGCCACTGCCTTGCTGAGAGTCCTCTCAGCTCGACTCCACCCCTCCTACTGGTCTGAATGAATATTTCTTCTCCAACTACTTGGTTGTTGGATTTCCGTACAATTCAATTTTTGGCATTGCTGGGGTTTTTTGTTTTTAAATTTGTTGTTGTCGTTCTTTTGGTTGTGTGAGGAGGCACAGTGTGTCTACGTATGTCTCCATCTTGGCTGGAAGTCCACACTTTTTGATTTCATTGGTTTTTCCTTTAAAAAAAATTTATACTTGAATTGGCTTAATTTGCTTTTGTTTTTAATTACTGAAAGGAAATGTAATTTGTTCATCAAGACCTCCCTCCTTTTTTATTACTTAATGATTTAAATTTTCCTTTTAAGCACTGCTTATCTGCATCCTACTAATTTTGAAGTATGTATTTTCATTTGCGTACATTTTAGAATGTTTTCTGATTTACAGTGAGACTTTATCTTTGACCTGTGAATAATGTCAAATTTCTTATTTCCTTTCCAAGTATGTGATGATGTTCTGGCTATCTTTCTGATATGATTTCTAGTTTAAATCTGTTTTGGTGAGAAGAATACTTAGTATGATTTCAGTTCTCTTTGTTATGGTTTGTCTTATAATTCTGCCTTGGGAACATGCCATGGGTACACTTTAAAAGAATGTTTATTCTTCTGCTCTTGGCTGGAGTGTTCTGTAAACGTCAATAATTCCTGTTGGTTTATGTTGTTAATTATTTCTTTTTTGTTCTTGATTTACTTTTATGAATTACTGAGAAAAGTTTTGAAGTTTTCAACATATGGTATATTTGTAGTTCTATCAATTTTTGCTTTATGTATTTGGAAAGTGTTAGATGACTTTACATTAATAACTGTTGTGTAGTCTTAGTGAGTTAATTATTTTATTTTTTAGAAATGTTGCTTTTTATCCTGGTAATTTTCTTTGCATGGAAGTATACTTTATTTAATATTGATATAGCTATTTTAGTTTTCTTTTGTTTTTAATATTGTGTATGTGTTTCCACTTTTATTTTGAATTTATTATATTTAAAGTGAATTTCTAATATTACATACAATTGTCTTGATTTTTTAAAAATTCTATTTTGACAATCTCTTTAAAGTGAAGTGCTTAGACCATTTATATTTAATGTTAATTTGTGTTCATGTTTAGGTCTACTAATTCATTATTTATTCTTTGTTTGTGGCTTATGTTTCCGTTTCCCTGTTTACCTTTGGCTGCCTATTTTAATTTATGTATTTAGTATACCTGGTACAAGTGTGAGAAAATGGAGGTTTACAGTTGTAAGTATGTGAAAAGTTTATTCTTGGATAGTCTAGTTATTAGTCATTACGTTATTTATTTGTATTATGTAAACCTACTTTTGCCCACTCCTGTATAGATTTAATTTAGTCTATCTTATTTCTGTATTATAATTATATTTTATTTATGTATAATGCTTATCTACATTTAAATTTATCCCTTGGACCCTGGCCAATGTGGCTTAGTGGATTGAGCTCTGGCCTGTGAACCAAAGGGTTGTCAGTTCAATTCCTAGGCAGGACACCTGGGTTGCAGGCCAGGTCCCCAGTGAGGGGCGCAAAAGAGGCAACCACACATTCATGTTTCTCTCTCTCTCTCATTCCTTTCCCCTCTCTCTGAAAATAAATAAATAAAAATCTTGTACAAAAATAATTTACCTGTTTGGTTCTTGACTGTATTTCTTGTATAGTTTTTTTTAATAGTTGGAGTAGGGAGACACTTGGTGGGGCATAAGTAGGTTTATAGTTATGAGTATGTGAAACGCAGAGTTTATTCTTGTATTATTAATGATTAATTATTGTGTTCTTTGTTGTACAAACAACTGTAAACCTACTTTTGCCCCACCCTGCAGATATCCCTGATGGAATCAGAATCTGGTTTTTTGAACAAGATTCCCCACATCATTCCTTTGCATATTACCTTTTTTTGGAGCAGTTGTTTACAGAAGTTATAAATAACTCGGTCAGAGTAACCCTGAATATAAGGTGTAAAGCTCTCAGATAAGAACAACCTGGTTGAATGACTTTAGAGCTTGTGCTCTTAAATACTCTGGTGTCTTGCTGAATAATTATTTAGTCTGGGTTTGAGCAACTCCAAAACTAGTGAGTTGGTGATACTGATTTTTTTAAAAATCTGTTTCCTTATGGACCTTTCAAGTGATACTGTATTAATACAATCTTTCTTCTACAATACGTTAAATATTTAAAACTAATTATTATCTTTCTTCCTTGTTTTTTCCATATTAAATATCACCAAATCTGTGACTTTTCATCATGTAACATGATTTTTAAATTCTTTGACAAGCTACAGTCTTTTCTACATTCCTCTTAAAAAGTGATGCTACTTGATATCCAAAAATTACAATTTCTTTTAATTTGATGTGTAAACGGTATGATACCTGATTTTGCATATAATGCATATGTATTAATACCTACTAGTTATAGAAAAGAAATCTAAGACAGATACCTGCTCTCAAGGAGTTTAGCATATAGGGGGAGAGAACTAACACATCTGAAAAATTGGAAAGGAGTATATACCAGTGTATGAAATAGACTTTGAAGATAAAGTTCTCCAAATTTTAACAAAACGCCAAACTCATAAAAACCACTATACCATGTAATGTGTGGAGACAGTTTATATAGAGGTTCTATATACATATTTGATAGTAAAATTTCTTTCTAGCTAGATTTCTTTTGAACCAGTTTAATCAATCAGTTGTAGTTGTTCTGAATGGCATTATTTACATTCAGACCCAAACAGATACCATATCCAACCTCAGTTCTTGAGTCCAGACATTATTTACTAGGTAAGAACCATGACTTTCTGTTATGTTTTCTTCCCTTCATCGAAGAATTTGGGATTTTTGGTGACTTATTTTTCAACTCCACCTTCTAAATTATTTTTGAAACATATACTTTCACTCTAGGATATATGATTGCAAATATATTGCAGTGGAAACAAAAAAATTTAGCATGTTAAAAGTACCCTTCCATAAACACATATCTGATCATATTCCATAACTTGACAAACTTATGTAATAGTATTAGCAGTTTTCAGTACCAGAAATTGTCTTATTTACTTAATTTGCTGTCTGTGTTTGATGCTCTCTCTCAAACTGTGTGAGGACTGGGATTTCATCTGTTTGCCATAATATACTGAAAGTCTAGGTTTTTGTGAATATTAAATTAGTTCATGTAAAATTCTCAGAATAGATCTGGCATGTTATAAGCTCTTGTCAGCTGCTATATTGTTGTTGTAGTTATAACTAGTATTAGTGATAGTATATTTAGACATTTGTAGATACTCAATGGAATATAATATCTTCTGAATAGAGTAAGTTCAAGACAATACCTAATTATAAAAATTGAGTGATCTAGGATACATTATACATACAAAGCATTTCTATTTTTATAGGATTAAAAATGAGAGTCACATAATGGAGTAGATAATTGCGGTCACAGCATGACAGTAAAGAGCTGGGATCCCCAAAAATTACATTTCTCTCCCAAAATTGTGAACCAGTAGGGACAAAAAATTGCATTTTTTGACTTTCCTCTTTAAACTCATTTTGCTGGAAATGATTGCTCCTAGATATTGGATAAAAACTCTCGTCTTCTGACCTGCACCTTGCACAATGTCAGGCAAATAGTACGCTCATGATGGTACTCAGTGTTGTGTGCTTCACTGTATTGCCTTTCTCTTGGTGCTGTCATTTGAAACAAATGTGTGTTTACATTGCATTCTGTATATCATAAGTTATTTTACCTTTTGTCTCCTTATCTGTGATCATAGGTAACAGTTAACCTCTTCCAAATGCAACAAGTACAGGCTGCTTCCCTTGCAAACAGTTTGCAATCTTTCTGTGATAGAGCCAAACTCTATGATCCAGGCCAAGAGTATAGTAAGTTTGTCAAGGCCACAAATTCAACCGAAGAAGAAAAAGTTGATGGGTGAGAATTAATGTGTAGCTGAAATTGTTTTCAAGAGAAAATCTTTATTGTTAAGTTTCTATGTGGTATAAAGTGGTGTGTTTCTTTTACATTTTAACATTGGCAAGATTTGGCAGATTTAACTTTAATTTTTTTCTGAATTTTAATTTAATAAGGTGTAACTCACATGAGAGTAAAAGAGCTTTTCATTCCTAGAGCTCAGTTCTCTGAGATTTGGAGAATCTCAAATCTTTGGAGAATGACAAATCATAGACATACCTATTTAGAATATTTAGTACACAGATTTAGCCTACATTTTCCACAGAGATTATACTAGAAAAGATGAGCCATAACATGAATTGATTTTACTTTGCTACTCTTTGCTGTATTGCAGCTGTAACAAGTACAGATGATTAAGTTCTGCTCCTATCTCCTTTAAGAAGTTGAACCATATAATGTGGTTTGTTCTTAATATTGAGTTAAACTACTCTAGTTCATGAAATTAACATTTTTCTGGAAATAGAATAAAATAGTCTGATTATTAGTCATTCTTCTCAGTGATTCACTTTACTTGGGTTTTTCTTAGGAGTGTAACTAAACCATCAACAAGTAGCTCCCACCCTTCTGGATACGGACCTGCTGACTCCTTAGAGGATGCCGTGTGCCTTCCACACAGCTCCAATAAGATAGAAGAGGACAGATGCTCTACCAGTGCAGATGTAACAGGTAGTTTTCACATTAAAAACCACTACTTGTATGAAAGATCAACCTGTTTAAATGTAGTTTAATTAAAGATGTTGTGACCTTGGAATGTAAAAATTAGCCCTTGAACTACAACTTTACGAAGCCTTATTCACAGTTTTAAGCACTGTACTTGTCTTAAAATTGTTTGATTACAGTTAAAGAAAGTTGATTTGTCTCATTTTATATAATGTCAGTATTTTGCCATATGAGCCATCTGAGCCAAGTTGAACCTTAAGTACTTTTTCCTTAAAGGTTCTTCTTCTGTACGGTCATGGACGTTTGGGATGGTCAGCGATTCCGAGAGCACTGGCGGAAGCAGCGAGTCCAGATCTCTGGACTCAGAATCTATCAGCCCAGGTATAGAAATACTTAAGTCTAGCAGTGGAAATTCAGTGAAAGATTAGAATACAAAGATATGTAAAGTTACCTTATTTCTATAATGAATTAGGTCATAAAGAGCAGTATGTACATTTATGTGTACAGTTAAAGAAAAATAATAAGCCATTCTGTATTCACCACCCAGCCTAAGAAACAGAACATTATACTAGACTAAGTTCCGGTGTATACCTCCTTGATGACATTGCTCTATTACACCAAAAAAAAAAAACCCCCATTATTCTGAATTTGGTTCATAATTCCTCAGCTATTTTAAATGTTTTAGTACCTAATACTAGTTGAGCTTTGCCCTCTTCAGAATAATGCATGTATGGAATCATGCTATTTTGTGACTTCTTTTATGTTTTTTTTCTTTTTTGAGGTCCACATTGATGCGAATAGCCATCTTTAATTTTATGCTATATACTTTACATGGTATTCTCTTCCCTGAACATAGCTGTCATCCATCTTTTGGATTGTTTTATAATTAATTGTAGTAAGAAACACTATAGTTAAGACTAATTCTTGTGCCACTGGTGACTTACTAATGTTTTACAAATGTGCTGTAAGGTACTTTGATAATCTCCTGCTCCGTGGAGAGGCAGAGAAGGTGTTTTTGAAGGTTGCCCTCATGGCTCCAAAGAGAATAGCACGAAAGGTGATAGAGAGAGCAGGAGAAGGTAGCGCCTGAGCCCAGGGGAATTTTTCTTCTCACTTCTCCACCAAAGAGTGGTCCAGTGCTGTTCTTCTGGCAATGTACCTTCCTCCTAGGATCTTAGCAGTGTGGCAGAGAATGTTATAAGATTTAACCACAAAGTTCAAGGCATTATTTTTTAGTGCTCCACATAGTATAGAAATTAATGTAAATAAATCTCTTGAATTTAAGTTAGAAATAATTTCCATGCAGCACTGGTATTTGTAGGCTTACTTTGTATCTTCCTTTAAAACTGGCTCTGTGGGACACTCTGGAGAAGTGAGCCTAAATATTTAACTGGATATTTGTAATTATCTTTATAAAAACAGTGTGGTTCGAGAAATCCCCAGAAATTGAGAGCAGTTCTAGAGGAAACCCTAAAGTATTTGGAGTCCTATAAGACGTCGGGTAAATTAGACAAAAATGTGGAAACTGGTCACATGATAAATGGGTGAAGAGCTGAGGACACTTAGCCTGGGGAGGAGGAAGCCTGGGGCTGCAACGGCTGTCCATAGATATTGGAAATGTAAGGGTAGAGTGGGTCTGCTCACTCCTTTAGGGAGACGTACGCCCCGAGACTAGGATTTGTAGAGGCGGGTTTCTGCTCAGTAATGTAAGGAAGCCATTTTACAATTAGAATGGTTCTGAAAATGGAACGTGTGACCTCATGATCTTTCAGTCACTGGGGGCACATTCAGAGGGAAAACTCAGTGACTACCTTTCAGCCTGTTGTTCAGAGGAGTCTCTTGGGGAAGAGGTTGTCAGTTTAAATAATTTATAAAGCCCTACCTCTGAACCGTAGACTGAAGTGAATTCTTAATTATAACCCTGTTTCTCATATCGGCAATGAGCAAATAACCCTCGCTGCCTGGTTGGGCTGCTTCTGCCCATGCTCTGTGACACGTGACTGTGTCCTTTGCTGACATAGCGCATCCTCTGCTCTCGGCTCCCTGTCAGGGATCATTGTTTCTGTTTCCCAATCTCTTCATTACTGTTGTGTGGCTGAATTTAAAGATTTTTGTGTATTTTACAAAGATTTAGGTTATATGCATTTGTTTATAGCTTAATTCAACAAGCATTTAATGACAACTTTGCTATTATGCGAGCTACTCTGTCAGATGTAGATATAAGACGTGAATGGAGAATACTCCCTGTCTTGGAGAGCTTACAGTCTCCAACACTGACTGTCAAAAATAGACAATTCAGGCCCTGGCTGGTGTAGCTCAGTGGATTGAGGTCGGGCCTGTGAACCAGACAATCTCAGTTCAATTCCCAGTCAGGGCACATGCCTGAGTTGCAGGCAGTTCCCTGCAGGCCAGTTCCCAGCAGGGGATGTGCAAAGGGCAAGCATACATTGATGTTTCTCTCCCTTTCCCCTTCCCTTCCCCTCTAAAGATAAATTAAAAAAATTTTTTTAAAAATGGACAATTAAAGTCTCATTGGGATGTGTGAGGATCACTTTTACATTTGTCAGGAAGTGTCAGTTTGGGTTCAATTTTCTTTTGTTCCCAGGAATAAATATCAGAATTCCTGGTATCCAAAGTCTGAGAATGGAAGCAGGTTTTTTACATTGTAGCTAATAAAATTTATGACTATATTCCTCAAAAGGTGTTAACCTATTTACAAAATTCTACAGTTCACGGTCAAGTAATTATATTCATAATTTCTTTTAGGAGACTTTCATCGAAAACTTCCGCGAACTCCATCCAGCGGAACAATGTCTTCTGCGGACGATCTGGACGAGAGAGAGCCACCTTCCCCTTCAGAAGGTGGGATGACACTCTCTGAGTGTCCCTGAATCAAGCTCTCACTAGGCCAATTGAATCAGTAGCACTGCATGGTATTAGGAAAACAGTATAATTCAAAGAATTACTTTGCTATGTATTAAACAAAAAGCATTATAATGATACATATATCCAATATATCCCAATAAATTATGTACAAGTATGGGTTGATAATATATTAATGAAATGCTACAAATACAAATATAAGCAGCAAAACTGTTAGATCTAAAATGTGTTAGCACGAAGCACTGGCCATTGTGGCTCAGGTTGGTTGGAGCATCTGTGTATACACCAGAAGGTTGCGGGTTCAACTCCGAGTCAGTGCACATGCCTAAGCTGCAGGTTCAGTCCCTGGTCAGAGTGCATATGGGAGGCAACCAACTGATGTTTCTGTTCTCTCTCCTTTCCTCTCTGTCTAAAATCAGTAAATATCTTTTAAAAAATAAAATGAAAAATAAAAATGTATTAGCATGGTGATAAAATAGACTAGACATTTTGATCTTTCATGAACCTAACATAGTGACTTAAGTGTTAAAAGGGTTGCCATGCGTGAGCAATTCTGAGAAATCTTCTTCAAAAGAAACAGAGCAAGGAGCTAGGCAAGAAGATGAAAAAAGTATACTTCTTGAGGACAAGGAAAGCTGTAGTTGTCGAAGGATATAAAAGAGAAGTCTGTTACCATAATGACTTGAATTAGACTCATAGAAATTAGTTTTTTTACACTTGAAATTTCCAGATAGCTCTTTTGCCATCATCTCCTAAAATAATACGGAACATTTGCCTTCCAGCAGGATATTCATATATTACTAGCTAGTATTACCTAGGATTTTATAATGACTTAAGAATAGCTTTATCCTTAATGTGGGTAATGCTGATGACACAGTAACCTGATGCAGCTAATTTTCTTTGAAGCTTTTATAAAGAGGGTATTTTCTAAGAATGTAATGCCACCTACGTAACGCCTCAGCTCAGCAACGGGCATATTAATGGTAGGGTTACCGTTCTGATCCTGAAAACATGATGTACTATTTTAGAAGTATCTTAACTGGTTGAGTGGTGACTTTTACTCGTCCCTAAAATGTTTGATCAGCGTGTGCCTTGTAAGAGATTTCTAAATTAGATCTTTATTTGGATGTTACCAATTCAGAATAATAGCTTCTTGTAATATAGAATGATTACAAAGTCTAAAGATTTTTAAAACTATACTATATTGTGGAAAAAGTTTGTCATCTTATGATTCTTATGTAAATTTTTATTTCTATTACAAGGACCCAATTCAGGTGGAACATACAAGAAAACATTGATGTCAAAGGCAGCTCTCACTCACAAGTTTCGCAAATGGAGATCCCCCACAAAATGTAGGGACTGTGAAAGCATCGTAGTATTCCAGGGTGTTGAATGTGAAGAGGTAAGGTTTTTCTAGAATTACATTAGCCCCTTAAACTTTTTGCTTTATACTATTTTGTTACTAATGTAACCACAGTGCACCTTGTACAATTTTATATTTCATTTTGCTATTAAATGTATTTCAGACACTGCAGGTAAAACCTTTTAATCGCATTTTTGTTGTGTTACCACTCTGTGTCTAGTTCATCCAGTTGTGAATAGTTTTAATATAATTGAACCAGCTTTAAACTATTATTTCTTTCAGTGTCTGCTTGTTTGTCACCGGAAGTGTTTAGAAAATTTAGTCATTATTTGTGGCCATCAAAAACTTCCGGGTAAAACACACTTATTTGGAGCAGAATTCACGCAAGTTGCAAGAAGGGAACTAGATGGCATCCCTTGTATACTCAAAATATGTGTCTCAGAGATTGAAAATAGAGCTTTGTGTCTACAGGTACGTTATAACTTTTAAAATCAAAATTTTAAATATAAATAAGTATTTATATTTAAAATTCTCATGATAAGGAGACTTTAAAGGAAAACAGTGCTCTCAATGTGTACTAAGTCACTGATTTTATTTAGATTGTTTGGAAAATATTACCTTACTTCACCCAAGTTTTTTCTAAAATGTTAATAAAAATTGAAGTAGACACATTCAATATATTTAAATGTCCACATTTAGCTGTTGTACTAAAGCAGAATTTTGCAATATTTTCCCCCTTTCCTCTCAAGGGAATTTACCGTGTCTCTGGAAATAAAATAAAATCCGAAAAACTGTGTCAAGCTTTGGAAAATGGAATGCACTTGGTAGACATTTCAGAATTTAGTTCACATGACATCTGTGACGTCTTGAAATTTTATCTTCGACAGGTAAAAGTTTTACCCTTGAAACCTACTGTTAACTAGAAGACAGGAAAAATGATTTATATTTAGCTGATTACATTTGCTACAAATATTTTCATTCACATAGACCATATTAATATCTTTCTTCTTAATGTATATCAAAATGTATATAAATATATGAAAAGTATACAAACACATTTTCCATCACCTTAAGTTAAGGAAATAGAAAATTACTATATTTTTAAAGGGGTTTTCTGTGCCTCACCCCATTGGGGCCTGTAACCCCACATCAGTAGTCTTTGTCTAACCATGTTAGTAACTCCCTCTTTTTTTTAACGTATCTGTTGTGGGTTTGTAAACAGTTTATCACTAAGTTTTAGGAAGCTAAGCAAAAAGCATAGAATATCACTGTGTAAGGGAAGGCTATTTTTCACATTGTTATATGAGGGTTGATTCAGTAAGAACAGTGTGTTGCTCATAGTCCAGTTTTATCTTCGTTGGTATTTGTAAAATAGCTGCTTTGGGAGGTCACTGGGCAAGGTTATGAATGTGCCCCGGAAGTTCACCACACGTGGGGTGTCAGGCAAGACTATCCTATAAGCTGTGCACTGGAAGTTCAGCAGGAATATGGTCCGGGAGTGGGCTGCTGGGTGTTTTCTCTTTCTGTGCTCACTGTGAACCTGCAGTTGCAGAATTAAGTCCACAGAAAACACTTCAGTGGGGTGAAAGAAGTGGCCTTCATGGCTTCAAGGAGCAGCTTGTGGAGGGGTCGTTGGAACCATCAGCACATTGGCATGATGAGCCAAGAATTAAAAATGACCTGGGCCAAGCCCAGCTGCCTTGTGTCCCCTGGTGAAAACGAAGAGACAGTTGCAGAGGTGACCACAGTCCTTAACATGTTGCTCTCCAGTGTTGTGTTCTCCAGCTGTTATCCTGGGACCTTTCCTCTCCACGCTCTTCTCATTTGTGAGGAAACGCCTTGTTCTGAATTGGTTTATTCTTCTGGTTTAGTCATGCCCATCTCCTGAGCAAGGCGGAGTAAGAGTACATACTGGGTTGGCCAAAAAGACCATTTAGTCTTTGTCATAAAAGACACTTTTTCATTTTTCACCAATGCCTTGATTGGTCTGGATACTTTGAGTATGTCAGCTGTCTCCTGGGTGGTATAACGTTGCTTATTCTCAGCATGTCGGTTTGATCACTATCAACCTCAGCGAGTCTAACTGACTGTGGAGCATCATCCAGTGAGAACTCTGCAGCCCGAAACTGAGCGAACCGCTATTGACACATTCCATCAGGCCCAGTACCTTCTCCATATACAGCACTAACCTTCTTTGTTTGTTTGCTTTTGCCTTTCTTGAAATAATAAAGCCTAATACACTGAAATGTTGTGTATTTTCTTCCATGTTCAGTATTAAAATGGCCACACAAAAATTCACCAATTTTGATAACTTTTTTTAAACACATGCTGGTAGGACAGCTGTCACAATACAATCTAACAAAAGTGTGTCAAATGAAGTTAAAGACAACTAAGCACTACTGGAGCCATGTTACGGAAAAAAACAAATGAACTTTTTGGCCAATCCAGTACTTGAAAGCTTATTTATCTGTCTTTACTCTGTTTTCTTGTTGGGAATGGAAGAGTGTGGATGGCGTGGGAGATCATAGTATTCTAGGCTGGAAGTTACTTTTCTTCAGAATTTTGAAGGTATTTTTCTTGTTCTCTTTGAAGCCTCAGATCCTCCTCATTCTTCACTGTACGTGGCCTATTTTTCCTCTCTGAAAGCTTGTAGAAACTTCTTTTCTCCCTACTCTAAGATTTTGCAGTAAGGAGCCTTGATGTGGGTGTTTGCGCTGTTCCAGGCCCTCTGTGAGCTCCATCATTCTCCTTACTTGTCCTTCAGTTCTTGGAACTTTTCATTGCTCACTTTCTCCCTCTGTTTTCTTTCTGAAACTTCTCTTTGGATATTCGATCAGTTGAACTGGTTCTGTAGTTCCTTTTTTTCTACTGTTCATTATTTCTGGTTTTGTTTTCTTTAAACATTTTCTAAGATTCCCTAAGTTTTTCTTTTATCCCTACCATAACTATTTCATTTCTAAGGTCGTGTTTACATTTCTAGGAACTCTGGTTCTCTCTCTCCTGGGGCATTCTTTCTTTTCTAATGAATACAGTATATTACCCAGTGGAAGTATTATTGTTGTTATTGTTACAGAGTCTTTAAAATGTGGTGTGTGTTTTTCATTTGAAGCACATGTCAGTTTGGACTGGCCACGATTCCAGTGCTCAGTGGAGCCCAGTGCAGCTGGTGGCCTGCATTTAGTCAGTATGGTTACAGACCTTCAAGTTGTTTTTTTCCTACCTGTTTTGATTTGTCTTCCTGGGTCATCTGCTTAAATGAAAGAGTTGGGAGTTGAAATACCTTAGGAAGCTTTTGGATATAAGAAGGCTTTGAAGATTTGAGCTTTACTGTGATATGATCTAGGTGGGATGTTTGGGAAACACCTGATGTCTGTATCTCTGGGTCTGTTCTTAGGCTGATCATTACCCCAGAGAAGGGCCTTTTCCTGCCCAGAGGTGTGGTGCCAGGCTTTGAGAGCCAAGCAGGGTGAGGAGGCTCTGGGATCCCTGCATTCAGCATGCATACATCTACTAAATTCCTGTCTTTAGGTAGTTGCTCACTTGTTTCTTGTGCTTCATTTTGCCCATCCAGAGAACCCTCAGTTTTACACTGCACAGAGAAGAAATGTCCAGGCTTCTGAGCAAGAGGTTGCTCAGGAGCATGGGATGGAGACAGGGATCCAGAGAGCAAATGCTTCTTGGACAGCCCACCCTCTTTCAGAATTAGAGGACCTCATGCTGCCCTTGGGTCTGCTTAGCATCCTGCTAACCATGTTGGGTTTCAGTTGGAATTGCAGCTTTCTCAGGCCTGCTAAGTCAGCACTTGTTATCTGCTCTTCAGCTACAAATGTTGGACCTACTTTGTTAGCCCAGGAAACTGGTGGTATCTCTATAGTGATATTTTACAGGATTCTCAAGTGGAAATTGGAAACCAATTACCTTTGAATGACTGTAAATTTCAGTCAGTCATCCTTTATCTCTTTTAGCCAGTCAGGGAGAGGAAATGAATGTGGTCCAATACTGTCAGGCCTTATCCTGTCTTGGGAATACTACATGGCCAAGACTTGGGTGTGGGAAGCCACACTCAAATTTATAGGATTTGAATCAGATTCACGTTACAGATCACATCTGTAGCAAATATATGTACATTTCTAAATGTACATGTTGACCTTAAGTCTTGTTACTCTAAAGGTACATGCTAAACCATTCAGTAGCTCTTACACAATATTAATGAGGGGAAAGGACAGAATAATATTTCTAACACGACCTTCTTTCTTTAGCTCCCAGAGCCCTTTATCTTATTCCGATTGTACAAGGAATTCATAGACCTTGCCAAAGAGATACAACATGCAAATGAAGAACAAGAGACAAAAAAGGATGGTCTTGAAGACAAAAAATGGCCAAGTACAAGTATAGAAATAAATCGAATTCTCCTAAAGAGCAAGGACCTTCTGAGACAATTGCCAGAATCCAATTTTAACAGTCTTCATTACCTCATCATGCATCTTAAGCGGTAAGAACTTAGTATAAGAAGAGCATCGGTTAGTAGATGGATAATTGATCAGTTTTTATTCATTTGCTTTTTAACTGTAGTAAGAGACACATAATTACCATCAGTGTCATTTTTATTATTTTTAAAAAGATTTTATTTCTTTATTTCTAGAGAGAGGGGAAGGGAAGGAGAAAGTGAGAGAAACATCAATGTGTGGCTGCCCCTCACACATCCCTCACTGGGGACCTGGCCTGCAATCCAGGCATATGCCCTGACTGGGAATCAAACCAGTGACCTTTTGCTTTGCAGGCCAGTCAGTACTCAATCCACTGAACCACCCTAGCCAGGGCTTTAGTCATTTTTAAAAGTACAGCTTAGTAGTATTAAGTACATTCACATTGTTGTGCTATTATTTTTAAATGAGCCTTTCATTTCTAATATGTGTGAGGGAAAGGGAGATAAAGAATGTGTTCATGCAGCCAATAGCTTTCCCTCGGTGCCTCCTAGGTGCCAGACTCTGCATGGGAAAGCAAGAATGAAAACATAGAGTTCTTGTGATCTCTTCTGCTTGTCAGTTTGCGGGGCAGACCTGCAGACAAGTGCAGAGCAGTGTCATTCATGTTCTAATGGAGCCATGTACCGCATGCAGAGGCAGAGAGGGGAGGGGGAGGCTCCCAGATCAGAGAAGGATGTCCTGAGCCAGGCTTGAAGAACTAAGTAAATAGTGGTTCAGCAACAGAGAATGTGCAGAAGAGCATTCCTGGCAGGGTAACAGACACAGAGACATAAGGAATCATCTTGCCTTTGGGAAGAATAAGTAATTTGGTCAGGCTCGGCTATAACACGCACTAGCAGGGGTGAGCTAGGTAGAGGCCTGGTAAAGAAAATCTTCCACATCTGGCAGATGACTTGACCGTCTTGCTTCTGTACGCACTAAAGAATTCTGAGCCAGGAATTTCCCATGCTTAGATGTGCCTGTTAGATGTTTCTGGCAGCAGTATGGAGAATGGTCTGGAGGAAGGACCTTCACTGCAGTTCAGATTTCCTTGAATAGCCATAGGAATAAAGGGTGATGAGAGCTGGAAGTAAGGCCACAGCAGTGGGGGTGACAGGAGAGCAGAGAGATCCTTAGGAAGTGCCATCAGCTCGGCCTGAAGACTAGCTGTGAGCAATGAGAGAGAATTTGACAACAGTTTTGGAGTTTCCAGCCTAGAGACCTACAGCTTTGGGGGTTGTGTTTTTATTTTTTGTTTTTAATTTCCACTGGTAAAACTCTAGAAGTCCCTTCTACTTACCTAAATGATATCCTGATACTATAATACTCAACTTGGTATGTGGTCAACATTTAAACAAATGAATACATTCTTTTCTTGGGCTTTTGTAGCTCGATTTTTCTGCACCCTTCCCCACCCATAGTTAACTATGATCAAGGAAGTCTAACAGGCAAATCTCATAGAGCTTGATGTGTTCTACTCTGCAGAGTCGTTGATCATTCGGATGAAAACAAGATGAACTCCAAAAACTTGGGGGTGATTTTTGGACCAAGCCTCATTAGACCAAGGCCCACAACTGCTCCTGTGACCATCTCCTCTCTCACTGAATACTCAAACCAAGCCCGGCTGGTAGAGTTCCTCATTACCTACTCCCAGAAGATCTTTGATGGCTCTCTGCAGCCACAAGACGTAGCTATGTGTAGTACAGGCGACGTTTCACCCCAGGTGGATCAAGGCTGCCATCCAAAGCCTCTACTATCCCCAGAAGATAGAGACCCAGAACATTTGACGAAGTCACTCTTTTCTCCTCAAAGGAAGTGAGTTTTGTTTGTCCTTTATGGAATTGTGGTGGAACTTTGTAATGTTCATGTTAAGTTAAAAACCTTTGAACTGCTTCTTGTGAAGTATGTTTTGCTTCAAGTTTAAAACTTCTCTCCCGCCCACAGGATATGCACAGTGCAGATGGTGAGAACAAAACTCTTGAACCAGTTGCCTCGTTTGAGGAATCGGAAGGAAAGCAGGATGCATCAGAAGAGTGGGATGCGTGTCTCATTGGTGAGTGGTCGTGTGCCATGCCTGTTTGCTGACCTAAAACTATGTCAGTGAACCATGATTAAAAGCCAAAACATTTAGAATCCTAAAACTTCTAATTTTTAATGCTTTACTTGTCACCTGCCTTTAACACATTAAGCACATGTATGTGTATGTATCTCTTTTTTTCCTCATTTCTTGACTGCAGTCACTTTATTCACTGATCATTTTAGTTGCAGTGATTGGTGACTATCAAGCTGGTGGAAAATCTTCCATTTATTACTGTAATGCTATACATTACCTGAGCTGACTTCCACTTTTTAAAATTTCAGGCATACATGTTAAATTTGATGTGTAATCAAACAGCAGTGACATAGCTTGACCGGGTCTAGAAAGTAGGGGAGCTAAGTTTCATTAAGTTCCTGCCTGCTCTCTGCTAAGCACTGTGCTTATTGTTTTGATTTCATTTATCTGATTTAATCTTCATAACAGTGCTGTGATGTAGATAGTACTGCTCCATTCTGCCATAGCTTAGTAGTGTGAGACAGGTGAGATCATGCCGAAGATCACGCCCCTAATAAATAGCACAGTCTCTGGTTGAACCTCTGCGTGTGTTATTTCACTATCCCATGAGCTAGGGCTCCCAACTGGAATAGTTCTTTAGTTTCGTTTCTGAGTGCCGTTGTGTTCCAAATAATTCTGAGCACTTTTCATGATTGAATCATTAAGCCATACATCAACATAGATCCGGTTATAATTCTCTCTTGACAAATGGAGACCTGAGGGACAGTAACATCTCCTTGCCCAGTGCAGATGTGGTGGAGCTGAGCTAAACCCAGCAACCAGGCTGCAGAGTGTACACTCTGACCATTCGGCTGTGGGTGCTTCCCTCCGAACTTAGGAGTGTGCTTTGGTTGATGTCTCCAGCCTGAACGCAATGAGTCAGGCCCCCTAGAGTGGTCTGTAAATGTGGGCATGGAAACCAATGAGTTGTTGCTTAGGAAGCCCAGGGAAGAGAGGTGGGCGGTGTCAGTTGAGGAGGGAGGGCCGAAGGGATGACAGCTGACAGATTCTGATGGGCACCTGTCAGCAGACCACTGCCCAAAATAGGAACATTAGACAACGGGCCGAAATCTTCCAGAAATGAAAATTTTTTTAGGGGAGACATAGCAACAAGGATCATGGCTTAGTGGAATTCAGTGTTCTAGTTTGAGAAGACATGGGCCGTGAGTGCAGGCTTGATAGGAAAGAGAAGAAAGTCAGTCTGGGAATAAACAGTAAATGGAGTGAATGTCAATTTTTCCCTCACAGTAAAACTATCAAACCTTAATTGGATGGGATGAATGGTATAGTCCATTTATTTGTTGACCAGATTGAAAGCCATCTAAAGCATTTCATAAAATGTACTGTCACTGTGGGTTGAGTGTGACTGTAAAGCAAAGTAGGGAGTCGGTGAAAGCATCAGGATTCAAGGGCACACCTGTGTTTGGCTGGCCTGTAAATTGGTGTAACTGTTCTGAGCTGCATTTATGAATGTCTGTCTGCTGAAATCGTGACAACCCTTTGACCCAGCAATTACTTGTTCATTCATGCACAGCACGTAACTTCAGCAAGTGTTTTCTTTTTGTTTTAACGAATCTGCACTGAATCTTTGTAGCTGTTTATTATATTTATTTCAGTAAGTATAAAATTGTAACCTTTTTTTTGAGTGTCTACCTTTAAATTCTTCTGCATGGCCCTGACCAGGTAGCTCAGTTAGAGTGTGTTGCCCCAGTATGCCAGGGTTGTAGGTTTGATCCTTGGTCAGGGCACATACAAGAATCAACCAATTAATGCATAAATAAGCATAACAACAAATTGATGTTTCCTCTCACTTCTTCTCACTGTAAAATCAGTGGCTAAAAAATGTTTTGAAACGCTCCTCTGCGTAGATAACTGAGACTAACTTGGGAAAATTTAAGACCATTATTGTTTTGAGAGCATGTTTGTCTGTAACTCATGCAGACTCCTCCTGTTAAGCAGGTGTCAGGAAGTTTGATGTTCAAATAAATCTGTTCCTTTTTCAGACAACAAAGTGCGTTTGCTTGCAGACCAAGGACTTGAGTGTGCACCAGAAAAGACGGAAGATGTTTGTAAAATCTCCGGGCCATTTACTCTGAAACCTGATAAGGAAACAAACAGTGCTGTTGAGAGGGGTACTCGAAGGGCCAAGAGTAGACCTGTAAGTTTGCCTGTGGATAGACTGCTGCTTCTTGCAAACCCTCCTCATGAGAGAAATGGCAGAAATATGGGAAATGTAAACTCAGACAAATTGTGCAAGAATCCTACCTTTGAAGGAGTTAATACCCCTACTCTTTGTTGCAAATTTGATGGCTTTGACCAGCAAACTCTTCAAAACCCTGGGGAGAAACAGGATGAACCTAATGGCCTAAATGCAAAGATGGCACTGATTGTGCCCAGTGCCCTCCGGGAAGGAGGAGTGACGACGAGCATCAGGATCAGTGGGGACCATGTGGTCAGTGCCACCCAGCCCAGTAAGCCGTGCCCAGAACCAGTCAGGTCAGCAAGACAGGTGTCGGAGGGACGGTCCTCTGACTCCTGCCCTGCTGCCCCTGTCAGAGCGCCCAGAACACTGCAGCCCCAGCACTGGACAACGTTTTACAAACCACGTGCTCCCGCTGGTAGTGTGAGAGGGGCTGAGGAGAAACCTGTGGCATCCTCCCCCAAAGTGCCTCCTGGCTCAGCTCACACTTGTCGGGAGCATGTGCTGAAATCAATGTCAGACTCAGAAAACGCACCAGCTCCTTGTCCCTTGCAGCCCAGAAGTAAACCTAAGGAGAACTGCGAGGAGCGTGACTTGCCCAATGTGCACCCGACATGTCAGAGACCAAGGCTTAAGCGAATGCAACAGTTTGAGGACCTGGAAGATGAAGCCCCACAGTTTGTGTAGGGGTGTCAGAATTCAGCTTCTCCTCTATGGTTGTTTTGTTTTGTGGTATTGTGTTTGTTTTGTGAGAGAATTTTGACAGGGTCCCTTTTGTATAAAATCGCCAAAGTGTGGATTTTGCTCTTTGTTATTATATTGTGTTACCCTGTGTTGGGCGTACTGAACTCTAGAATGTTGTGATAGGGCCACATGTGTGTCTCGCTGGAATTATCTGTATTTTTGAAGTTGTGCATAAGTAGGCAAACTCGTATTTGTTAAAGTTTATTAGATTTTCTCCATAAAGTGGTCCATTCAAATGCATCCCTAATATATGACGTAGTTCTCAACTAATAGCTGCCATTGGGGAAAATCGTCTGTATTTTTTTTTAAATAAAACTGTGCTTATTTATAAAAGGCATGTTTCTGAATGCAAGTGCCTGAAAGGTCTTTGTTTGGTATGATATTTCAAAAGACAATTTTATAGTGTGTCTTTGACCATTGTGCTTTTTATGGTATGTATGCAACCTTTTATTTTTCAGTTGGCAAGTTTTTTTCTTTTTATTTACATAATGGTGAAAAAGCTTTCAAATCTGTACTTAATTGCACTTCACTTAATTGCCAGATTTACAAGTGGTAGTGAGTTAAATTTTACAAAGAAAATGCACTTAAACCTGTTTCCAAATTACATAGTACAGTTATGTCTTATTTGGCTTTAAATGGTTTTAATACATTTAATGTTTTTTTTTATGTTTTGGTTTTTTTCTACATAAACTTTTGTTGTTCAACAGTTCTGAATGTTTTGGTATTTTATATAATGGCCCAAAAATGTTTTAAAATTTAACGCATTTCTTCTTCATATTGTTGAGGTTTAAAAAATATTTCTTTTGTATGAAACGTTTTTACTCATGAATAATTTTGTGTACTTTTTCTACCTGGACTTTAACCATTGACAGTGTGTGTTTCATATGAATTGTGCAAAGATTTATTTAAGTCGACTGTGAGTGTAGTTCAGTAAGCCTTGTTGTTTGGAATTTGAGAGCAAGTATAGATGGTTGGATATATTTCATGTATAAATTTCCCAGTTTTTAGAACTAAAAACTGTTTTCTGTATTTTGTCATTTTGCCTAAAAATGGATATAAAGGGAGAAAAAGTAGCCTTTTTGTATGTATGAATTCTATTTGTAATACATGCTTTTGTATGAGAATATTATACTTGATAAAATATATGTTAATCTGTTAAATTATTTTATGTTCTTTGGCTTCTTTGAAACTGGTTGCCTCTTAGTGGATGAAAGTTGAAGGTTTATTAGTCATTGGGTTAGTGATCAGCCCTTGGGCTCATATTCCCCTTGACTTAGTACAACATGGAATGTATTTTATGGGAAGTTTCTGTATAGTTTTATGTAACAACCTTTTGTGCCTGGGCCTTGTTTTTAGTCTTCATTGTACAAAATATAAAAGAATTGTATGGCTGCAAAAACCTACAAAGAAAATAAGAGCCAACAGTGATTGAGCCATCTCTGTGTGCCATGAACTGTACTGAGTTCCTACATAAATCACTTCAAGTTGACAGCAGCCTGTAATGGGTGGGAACGTATTTCATTTTTCCCATGTTACAGACGAGGAAGCTGAGGCTTAGTTAAATGGTGTGCCCTGGGGCCAGGACTCAGACACAGGGCTCAGAGTCTGCTGGTTACTACCCTTAGTGGTGTACAATGACTAAGTAACAAGGTCAGGTAATGTTTAACAATAGAAGATTTACCTTTGGTGGCATTAAGTACATTCACACTTTTTGTAACGGTGACCACTCTCCATCTCCAGAGCGTCCCATACTGAAACTTAGAAAGTGTACTTGTAAACCCCTTCAGTTTTCTTTTTACTTCATGGAGACAACCCAGTGAGAGAATATGTAATCAACTTGCCTCTTTGTTTCCCCTCACTGCTAACCTCACAGTGACAGTGCCACCTTGGGGGGTTTTCTGCCACTGGGGCTCTCAGACAAGTTGTCCAGCTTCAGCTGTTAGTCTGTAGACACTTGGTCGTTTCCTGGGGCATTAAACAAGCATGTCCAGAGAGCATGTTGCCGCTCTAGAGAACCCACAGTGTGCACCGGGCCCTGACACCCAGCACTTTGGGGGCACTCCTTCCCCAAGAAATGGTTCTACAGCACAGGAAGAACGTGAGCCAGAGTCAAGGGCCCTGGTGGGGAGTCCCTTCAGAGCTGCCAGACCACTGGAGAGCTTTGTAGAAAGCATACGGTTCCAGTTTCCAAGAAGTCATTTGTGAAGGGTTGATAATAACTTCCCCAGATAGGTGTGTTTTATGTACTGAGAATTAGAATTGATGAGTGATTACGATTACTTTGAGTGCACCTAGGCGATGTATTTCTTTTGACACAGAGAAGATAGGATTCCTATGAGAGACTTGTCGCCTACGGATCTCACATTCTGGGATGATTTACTTTAAAATTGGTACTCTGGTCACACTACCCCATTGTAAGTAAGATTGTGTTACTTAGAGTATCTGTACAAGTATAACAATATATTTCAATGGCACACTTCTTAAAATGTGTACTTTTCTGACAAGTTATAGTCAACATAATTCTCTGGGTTTTTCTTTTCCAGAGGCAGGAAATTGTTTTGATGTGTTGGTATGATTATAAATGTCGATAATTCAGTAACTGCAGTTACAGGAATTGAAAGTTTAACAAAGTTGCTACATTCACAATAATTATGCAACATCCAATTATATTTCTTATATCACCAACTAACAAAATGAAAGCTTTTAGAGCTCTTAAACAATAGCATAAAAATATTGAAATGCCTGAGAATAAATCTAACAACATATATACAAGATCTTCCTGGAGAAAATTTTAGACTCTATCAAGAGGCATTTAAGGAGATCTTGAATAAATAGAACGTTTCATGATGTACAGGGACTGGAAGACTCAACATTGTAAAGATGTCCATTTAATTCACATTTATTAACAGATGTCAGTGTAGCCCCATCCAATGCAACTTTCGTGCCATTTGAAAGTAGGTTGCAGACGAGATGCCCCGTTACACGTAGATACTTTTAGTCAGATTTCCTTAAAACGAGAGGACTGCTGCGTGACCGTTCCGTCTTGTGACCATTGCAGAGGTCGACGTCGTCATGTGACATCTGACCACACAGACCACACTCACATTCGCTGCTTCTCCTGCTCATGGTTTTCTGTGCCCGAGTCCCGGTCCAGGGTCACAGCATGCATTAAGCGGTCCTCTCTCTCGTCTCCCTCAATCTGGAACAGTTGTTCAATCTTTTCTTTCCTGACCTTGAAACTTGTGTGTAGGCTTGGCATTGTATAAAATGCCTCTCAGTTTGGGTTTATCTAATGTTTCCTCACGATTAGGTTCAGGATACACATTTTTGTCAGAAAACACCACAGAAATGATGCTGCGTCCTCACTTTATCATGCCGTGAGATACACGATCTCGGGTTGGCCCATTCCTGATCGTGTTAAGTTTGGTCACTTGGTTAGGATGGTTTCTCTACCATGTTTCCCTACAGTAAAGGTAACAAGAAGAAGTTTGTGAGGAGATTCTTTGAGACTACATAAATGTCCTGGTCCTTATCAAATTGTCACCAGTTAGTATGAATCTGTTAGCACTTCCTGCCTGAGTCAGTTATTACTATTCGTTTGTCAGTGGTTGCTTATGCTTTGGTCGATGCTCTACTCTAGGTACAGTCCCTTCTCCCTTTGTTCATTTGTTTATTCATTCGTATTGAGTATGGACTCATGGATTTCTACTTTATTCAGTAAGTTACATCACTGTCATTGACACCGAACCTTTGTCAGATTTGGTCTATGGGAATCTCTTCAGGTTCACTTCTATGTGCTTTTGACTTTTTTTTCTGTTCTGATATTTTTGACACAGGAACATATTCCAAGCTTATCTTGTACTTTTCCCTGTGCCAGCCATTTATCCAAGGAGCCCTGGTCCTTTAAAACAGGGGTGTAGTCCTGGGTGGTGTAGGTCAGTGGACTGAGCACAGGTCTGTGAACCACAGGGTTGCTGGTTTGATTCCCAGCATAGGGCACAGGCCTGGGTTGCGGGCCAGGTCCCCACGTGAGAGGCAACCGCACTTGGATGTTTCTGTTCCACTCTTTCTCTCCTTCCCTTCCCCTCTCTCTGAAAATAAATAGATAAAAATATATTTTTAAAATTTATTTCTTGTTTACATTAGGCAGTTTTTATATTCTCAGATAGCTACATGTAACCGGTAGCTGCCTTATTAGACAGTGCAGATACAGAACATGTCCATCACTTTAGAAAGTTCTGTGCTATGCTTTTCAATAGTCATTCAGAGAAAATGCTTGTCATATAATAAAATGGTAAAAGAGACTGGCAGAGATAGGTCTTTATCTTCTACTTAGATAGCAGTCTGCTTAGATTACTTCTTTAACTTCCTGACTAATATCTTTGAGGTTTGTGAAATTTAAGTTTTGCACAGATTCATTGATGTTAACTAATGTTGTTAGTAAACAATCTGATTCTTCATTCTTAGAACTTGAGAGCTTCTATTGTAAAAATGCTCTATAATTCTTATAAAATGTTCCTGCTTTTAAACAGAGTTCTCAGACCTTTTGAGTTCTAAATACTTATATATTTTTTTTACCAGGAATAATGTCAGAATAGTAAATTGGAATGAAAAAATACTGAAGAAAAGATTTGCTTGTTACTTTCTCCTCTAACCTTAAATTTGTTTTCTTTCATGTTGTAAGTCTTTTGAAAATGTTTCAATGGAATCAGTGGGCCCATCCAATGGAAAAGGTAATGCTTACCATAGTATAAACCTTTGCCAAATTTTTTTCAGTCATCTTCAATAGATGTTTGAATTTTGATAAATGTTTTAGATATCTTCTTGCTTAGTAACCTAATATATATATATATATTTTAACATAAACTGATATGTAAAATTTTATACATATAACTGAAGGAAAAAACCGACTAGAGTAGATAATGTGATCATAGAGACAGATCAAGAACTATATTGAGCTTGTAACTTGATGAATAATAGAAATACATATTAAGATAAAAAATACATTGTATCTTCTCTGACCACAATGCTGTTAAACCAGAAATCAATAATAAGAATAACACTGAAAAACATGCAATGACAAGGAAGCTAAATAACATGTTATTAAACAATGAATGGGTCAACAACAAGGTCAGGGAAGAAATCAAAAGATACTTTGAAACACATGAAAATGAGGACACACCAGTCCAAAATCTGTGGGACACTGAGCATGACAGGCCTATCTCAAAAAACAAGAAAAAGCTCAAATAAACAATGGAGCTTCACAATCTTGGGGCTTGAAAAAGAACAACAAAGCCCAAAGTGAGTAGAAGGAAGGGCATAGTAAAGATCAGAGCAGAAATAAATGAAATAGAGTGGGGAAAAAAGTTCACATTATACATGGCAAAATACAGCATCTCCCCAGACAAGGGAAACACAAGAAAAAATAAACAAATAGAACTACATCAAACTAAAAAGGTTTTGCAAGGCAAAGGAAATCATCAACAAAATAAAAAGACAACCCACAGAATGGGAGAACATATTCACCAATACCTCTGATAGGGGGGTTAATATCCAAAATTTATAAAGTACTTACAAAACTTAACACCATAAAAACAAACAACCAAATTTAAAAATGGGCAAATTACCTGAATAGACACTTCTCCAAAGAGGACATACAGATGGCCAATAGACATATGAAAAGATGTGCAACATCACTAATCATCAGAGAGTTGCCAATTAAAACCACAATGAGATGCCATCTCATACCTGTCAGAATGGCCATCATCAATAAATCAAGAAGAAGTGCTAGGGAGGATGTGGAGAGAGGGGCAGACACCCTGGGTACCCTTTTGCCCTATTGGGGGAATACAGACTGTTGCAGCCACTATGGAAAGGAGTATGGAGATACCTCAAAAAGTTAAAAATGGATCTGCCTTTTGACCCAAATATTCCACTTCTGGGCGCATATCCAAAAGCACCCAAAACACTAATGAGAGATCATAAGCTGCCCTATGTTCATTGCAGTGTTATTTACAGTCTCCAAGATATGGAAGCAGCCTAAGTGGCCATCCATAGATGAGTGGATAAAACACTATGGGATATTTACCCAATGGAATTCTACTTGGCAGTAAAAATGAATAAAATTTTACCCTTTGCAACAGTATGGGTGGACCTAGAGGAC